AATCCTAAAAAAAAAAAAAAAACCTGGCTACCTGGCCACATTTCCTTACAAAAGTAGAAGTGAGTCTTTTAATACTTAGATCACCTAAGTCTTTGAATACTGGAGAATAATCACAATGACAAACACATGCTTTTACTTCTGGAATGAAAAGTGACTTGATTTCTTCACCAAACAATAATATGAATATATTTTGCTTGATCTAAATTTTGGGTGCAGATTATGTCTGAATCTTTATTAATGAAAGGTTATTGATTTAATTTTGTTTTCTTATTTTGTTAATATTTGGACAGTAATTGATTTTTTTTTCCCATCAAGTGTACTCCCTACAGCTCTCCCGACACCATAGCACCTGTGGCCCGTGATAGTCCCTTGTCCTCTTCCTTTCCATGTTTTGAGACAATGGTCTCTTTTTCACCCCCTTTGTACAACCCCTTCCCCTCCCACTGATGGAGGTCTCAGATCTATGGTCAGCTTGTGAGCTTTGTCTTTTCCCTGGCTTTTGTTCCCTTTCTATTCCATATATAAGTGAAACCATCTGCTATTTCTCATTCTTCTTCAGACATATATATATATATTACTTTTCATTTTGGACATTTTGTTCATTTTGGTTGTAATCCCCATGGACTTCCCACCACTACTTCACCCATGTGCCGTCCCCATAGTCCCACATGTTCTTCCCATCCCAGTTTTGATCGCGTTCCCCTCTTCTCCCCCATAGAATGTCTCTGGCTTAAAGTTACTTTTGCTCAGAATAAACCCTTCCAGCTCCATTCATTTGTCCTTTCTGGAAGCTATACTTTATCTTCAGGTGGGTCATCCTGGAATTACAAAGCATGTTCTGCTTTGTGGTATTCATTAGTGTAGCCTCTGATATTAGGGTGAGAAAATAATTCATGCATTAAATTTATTTAAGAAACCATTATCAATAAGGAACATTCGATGCTCTTCCATGTATAAAAAGCTTTGTAGGAGATATTTTACCAAATAAGTCTTTCAGAGGTTTGGTCAGAGAACTTTCTTTTGTGCCTCTCCCATAATCCCAGTGAATGATACTGTCTTCTTACTGATAAAAGCTTATTTAGAACTCAAAAAGGAATGGGGTGCCCCAGGTATTTATCAAAAATCAAGCAGTCGTAACTGGAATTTCAAGAATGCTATCATAACAGAAATTTTAATATCTAGTGAGGATACTGAGCCTCCCTATTTTGCATTTGAGTCCCAATCCTGGACTAACAATGGTCTCTTTTTCACCCCCTTTGTTCATTCTCTTTACTGTGGATTTATGCATTTCTTTGACACTTGTCTCAATCCTTTTGAATTTCTTTCATCTGTTTCCTTTCCTTTCTTCCCACTTGTTTCTCTTCTTCCCTTTCTCCTTTACAAATTTGTACAAACATATCCTTCCAATGTCCCTGTACCTTACAAAAAACACAGTGATTATGCTTTAGGGTTTCACTTCTACTTCATCTCCATGCCCTCTCATTTACTCTTTCTAAACCCTGTCTTTTCTGTTCTCTCTATGAGAGAAGTTTAGACCTCAGCTCTGAATTTTAAATTCTAAAGCTTATGTTCCCTTATTAGGAAGAACTTATTTGTATGGCACCTTCTACCTTGATTAACTTCCTCCTTATGTGTGAAGTACTCTACCCAGTAAATACCATGTTAATCATCCAAGTACTTTTTAGATAAAATGAATTCATGCTTGTGTAAGATTAATAAGTAGGAATGATCCTCCCAAGACACTCAGTTCCTCATTTGCCTTTGGTTGAAGCTCTAACATTTTATCAAAACTTTTTGCTTAGGTATTCCTTTCCTTAATACTGATAATAAGCACTTCTTCCAGCACTTATTCTAATATTTCCACTGTCCCCCCTTGGGGCCCCAGTGAGCATCTACCATTAGGACAGCTCCTTCTAGTTCGGGGGTGCTATGTCTTCCCAATGGAGATGAGGAATCATATTATCTTGTTATCAGTCTTTCCTAAAACCATTCCCTGTCTCGGACATTCATAAAACACAGCATGGACTAAGCAGCCAGGTAGGCCAACTGGAGCCAATCATAGGATTAAATAAATCAACATCCTTTGAGCTTTATGTTGGTATGGAGGGATAGAATTTGTGCAATAGTATCTGACACCCCATAAGTAATTGGTAAAGAAGAATCTGTCCTACTTCAAGTTATTTCCTTTGGCAAAACTGAGTTCCAAGCTTTATCCCTGGGAGGCAAAAAGATTGCTGGACTCTCTCTAGTATCCCCAGGAAAAAGGCTGGCCTCGCTAAGAAGGATTCTGCACTGTTGGGTTCAAAAATCTTTAGTTACTGATATTCTTCTTCCTGAATTTCCCCTCTGTAACTCTCATTCAGTTATCTTTCTCTTTTGCCATCAAATGGGCTTCTGACTTCTAATTATTATTGTAGAGAAACAGTAAGTTAAAAAAAAATGTCTTTAATTGACAATGGAGCTCCTTATAGTCTGTCAGAATTTCTCCAAGAATACTCTTGGTTGTAGTAGATGACACATGTTACCTCAAAACAGGCTAACAAAAGCAGTCAGATTTACCTGGCAAAGAACCAGCCCCTCTTTAAGTTCCCAAGTCTCTCATATACACATTCAGAACATCAGGAAGTAGAGTCCAGGAATCTCCAGTTTCTACCTTCAGTTACCTATGAGTACTACCCACTGAGGGTTGCTATTCAACTGGCTTGGAGGTTGGGCCTCATGTTTCTCCTACAGTACTGTTTTAAATCAAAATATATGTACTGGTAAAATAGTTTTGTTTTTTTTTTAAGATTTATTTATTTATTCGTACAGAACTGGGGTACAGGCCAGAGATGCAGAGGGTGAGAGGATTCACCAGAGACAGAGTAGGAGTGCAGAACAGGCAGATCATCGAAGTACACTGCTGAGGAGAGCAGCGGGCGGGTCAGGAGAGGTCTGCCATGACATGTGGTCACCTCCAGGGCAGGGGGGGATCGAACTCATGCGAAAGTGGTTTAAGCTTCTTTGTGCCTTGCTTTAACCCACTCCGCCACCAGAGAGGGCCAGTAAAATAGTTTTTATAAAGGGAAATGAGACAATGCAGATTAATTTAAATTTAGGCATAAAAATTATTTGATGAATTTGAGCTAGCTTTAACTAAAACATAATCACTAGTAGTTTTGTATTTGTATTGGCAATTAGACAACTAAGTTACAATTTCATTGCCTATGTTTATTATAATTTTATAATATTAAAATGGGGAACAATTAAATATATCACTTTTTCATTGTTTTTAACTACTGAGACTAACTTTTTTTGTAAGTGAAAGTCAAGTGAATGGCCAATTAATGAGTTATCCAGTTGGCTTAGAGAAAAGAGAATGCTATTCAACAGATGCTTTTTTTCCCTTTTAGTATGGCATGGGCTCAGATCATCCACCAATTACTACTTTACCAAAAAATGAACTACCTCTTGATCATTACATATTTGTTTCACATCATCTTAGCTCTTTTTCTTTTTATATGCCTCATACTATTCAAAAGAAATTTTAAATACTATGGATTTTGTATGCTTAAAACTTCCCTTTGGATCTTTTCACAATGAAGATAAAATGAAGATGTAATCATTGAAAAGGTGAAATGATAGCAAGCAGTTGATATCACTAAAAATACTTGACAGTTATTTCAAAATTCCCACGAAGTAAATTGAACTATGAATATTTAATGTGATATGACCTAGAAAAGGGAGTAATGGAACCTACCTTGAGTGACACAACATAATAACAATTTCTTACAATAAGCATCACTCTATTTTTTCTAGTGCTAAAGAAATACATATGCCTATTCTGTGCCATGCCAAAAAGGAAGTCTTCATTCAACTATCAACATAATGATAATAAAAGTAGCATTCAACTCAACTTAATGTCTATTAAGGACTTATAAAATGAAAAGAGTCTTTATGATGAGGTAAAATTGTATTATAGATATTGTCATAGGCACTGGGGCAGTATTGATTGACATAGAGTCCTTTCAACAGCCTCCTAACAGATTTTACAATTATAAGGTAATTTTATAATATCAGCGACATTATTAGAGTCATAGAAAGAAGTTGTACTTTAAAATAAAGGGAATACTTCAAAAATCAGTTCAATGTGGGTAAAAGCCTTGAACATAAGACCTGAAACTTATATAAAATGTTACCCTACTCAGTGGGAGAAAATATTTGCACTCCATGTAACTGATAAGCAACTTATTTCAAAGATCTACATAGAACTCACATGACTGAACAGAAACAAGGCATACAATACAGTAAAAAAAAAAAAAAAAAAGGCAGAAGACCTAAAAATAGACTTTTCAAAAGAGAAAATGC